CTGCAAGGGGTGGGAGTGGGGCTGGGGCTGCTCATGCCGGCCGCCCTCGAGGGGCTGTCACCGACAGCCGGAGGGTGATGATGGGTGGTGGAGCAGAGCTGGGGCTGCTGGGTCTCCCAGATCCGGGGGAGCCTCACGGGACGGTCCCTACCACCTCCCCATGGGCCAGGCCGGGGGCTCCTGCAGCTCCAGCCCCTCGGGGGGCTCGCAGGGCTGGCATGTGCCCGCTGGACTTGGGGCACAGGAGCCTTTTTGCTTCCTCACCCCCTTCCTTCTACCCGGGAGGGTGCAGCTGCATCCCTCCGGAGCCACCTCGCAAGACACCAGAGCTGCCCATGCACCCTGCCTGCACTGCTGCCTGCACCCTGCCTGCACTGCTGCCTGCACCCTGCCTGCACCCTGCCTCCGCTGCTGCCTGCACCCTGCCTGCACCCTGCCTGCACTGCTGCCTGCACCACTGCTGCCTGCACTCTGCCTGTGCCCTGCCTGTGCCCTGCCTCTGCCACTGCCTGCACCCTGCCTGCACCCTGCCTCCACTGCTGCCTGCACTGCTGCCTGAGCCGCTGCCTGCACCGTGCCTCCGCTGCTGCCTGTGCCCTGCCTGCGCTGCTGCCTGCACCCTGCCTGTGCTGCTGCCTGAGCCGCTGCCTGCACCCTGCCTCCACTGCTGCCTGCGCCCTGCCCGCATCCTGCCTGTGCCCTGCCTGCACCCTGCCTCTGCTGCTGCCTGCACTGCTGCCTGTGCCCTGCCTCCACCGCTGCCTGCACCGCTGTCAAACAGAGCCCCGAGTGCAGGCAGCCCCTGCCCTGGGCCTCAGGACAGGCACCAGGGGCCTCATCCAGCCCCAGCAGAGACACGGGACCTACTCTGACATGGCGGAGTAGGGACAGGGACCCCACAGGGCAGCAGTGCCCGGTCGGGGGGACAAGCAGGAGGGCAGGGAGGGAGCCACACGTGCCCGCTGCCAGCGCAAGGGAGCTGGGGCACGTCCGCAGCGAGGGCTGAGACACGGAGCCGGGCCAGGAGGGGAGCACTGGGCACAGCTGACTCATCCAGAGGAGGTCCTGGGCTCATCAAGGAGAGCCCTTCCCTGCCAACGCCGGGCTGCTGCTTCCCCTGCCGCCCAAAGGGACACGGGACTCCAACAGAGCTGAGGGGCACTTGGACGGAGCCGTGGGGCCGCAGGAGGGAGGGAGGGAGCACTGAGCCGGCGCTCGGCCATCAGCTGAAGCAATTGTGCAAACCACAAGGGCAGGCGGAGGCCCAAGACCTCACCTTCCTCACCAAAAAGCCACCGTTGGCCCCTCAGAAATTCCCCACCACCATCTGGAGATCTCTCCTGGCACTGCTGGGCTACAGGAACCCACGGACCTGGCCTGGGCACCCGCCTGCGGCCACACCAGGGTTTTAGGAACATGACAACAAACTCACAAAACACGTTTTTCTGTGTAAACAAGGACTTGGACCTTCCAGACACAGCAGCTACCCCAGGGTTAGGAGCCTGTTGGGAACTTTGGACTTTGCTGAAGCCCCTCCCTGGGGGCTCCAAGGAGAAATGGGAGCCCCACAACACAGCCCTCCCTCCGCACCTCCGCGGACAAGATCAGGCCCGTCAAAAGCAACGAGAGGGAGAAGGCGTTGCAGAGGCAACACCTTCACTGCTGCCCTCAGCATCGTGTTTTTAGCATCCTGCTGCCAGGCTGTGGGGCAGCAAAGGGGATGGAGGAGCGTGGTAGCGGAGAAGAGATGGGGAGGCTGCTCAAGGACCTGGAAAACCCCAGGTCCAGGTGCTCCCGGCAGAGAACCCCCAGCAGCATCGCAGGAGCCACACGCAGGTGCCCACGGACACCACTTCAGCCAAGGACAAGCAGCTGGAGAGCACCAAGGTCACGCTGTACCCGGCTCCTGACTGACGCCCGGCCCCAGGCGCGCTGCGGGCACGTGCCCCAGAGCACGCCGAGGGCTATCGCAGGGAACCGCGGGGCCAGCTCCAGCGCTGGCACAGGGAGGTCGGCACAGGAGAGGGCACCTCAGCCCTCACTGCCCTTCCAAAGGGAAAGCTGCAAGCTGATGGGCAGGGAGAAGGCAGCGGGGTGCTCAGGCCATGGCAGCCCCGTCCAGCATCCACCTGTGAACCCCCCGGAGCGGGGGCTGGCACCGGGAGCGCGGGCACCTCGGTGCGCTCCAGAGCGCAGGCAGCGAGGAGGCAAATGGAAAACAGCACGTGACGGGCAGGAGGGCCAGGAGCAGCAGCGCTGAGCAGGAGCCTGGGCCCGGGCCAAGAGCCCCGTGCGGCACCCGGGCACCCACAGAGGTGGGCATAGGGCAGCGAGGGGGTCCCGAGCCCAGCTGCAGCCACCCTCCTTGCTTTACTCTGCCACTACAGCCCGACTGCAGAAGGGCACCGAGGTGCCTGGCAGAATTGGGGGATCCCGGGTGCCTGCGGGCTCTGGCACCGGTTCCAACCCCGGGGAGATGCCCTGCAGTTCCCTCATAGCAGCCTGGGCAAGCAGCAGCGGGCAGAGGGGAGCCGGACCAGGGGTTGGGGGTCTGCCCACGCCACGGAAACTGGACGGAAAAGGGTCCAACTGCCCCCACCGCCTCCCCCTCTCCCGGGGGGTCCCATACCTGCAGCTCACACCAGGCCACCTCCACGGTGGTCTCCGTGTCCAGCCCCTTGTAGACGGTCTTGAAGGACCCGCGCCCGATCTCGATGTCGAACTTGAGGAACCGGCCGTCGGGGGAAGTGGCGACAGCGCGGGTCTCCACCTCCTCGCTCTCCGTCTCCTCCGGTTCCCGGCGACCGGCGGCGACCAACAGCGGCGGAGGCAGCGGCGGCGGCGGCGACCCCCCGCGTTCCCCGCCCGGTGCCGGGTATCCCAGCAGCTCCAGCTCGGCCGAGCTCCGCCGGTTGAAGCGGAAAGAAGGGCGGCGGGAGTCGCGCCCCGAGGGCCGCCGGCCGCGGCTGCGGTGCGGGGCCCGCCCGGGGAGCTCTGGCTCCGGCTCCGGTGCGGAG